GGGGGGGGTGCCGGCGGGGCCAGCACCAGCAGAAGCTTTGGGGAGAAGGAGAGGAAAGAGAAGGGGGGAGGGGGAACCAGAAGAGAAGGTGTTGTTGTTGTTGGTTTGTTAAGGAGAAAAGGTTAGCTGTTAGCTTGGGTTAGAAAGCCATTTAAGCACAGTCAGTTTTACTCTAAAAGCAGTTCGGTGAGGTTCAAGCAAAAAGAACTGAGCGCTGTGCTGCTGAGAGGATAGCAAGCTTCCCTCATGTCTTCATGGTTCACATTCCAACGGTCAACTGTTTCAGTCTCCCGTCTGAAACCCCCAAACCGCTGCATTTTCTGTCCAAATACCCCCTTTTTTCGACAAATTAGAAAGCTGAAACCGATCTTCCAGTACTTCAAGCCTACCACGCACATGTACAGTTAAATGAAAATCTTCCCTCCAAAAATTTCTGGGAGTACACTGGGGGAAGTGTGGAAAATATTACACATTTTGCTACAGAAAGTACAGCCAACCCATTGCAAAAAACGAACCGACCTCACAATAAACAAAAATCGATGGCTCCAAGAATGAATTATTGATCTGTAATTCTGTACTTTATAGTTCTAGATCCCGAGAAGAGCTATAACAAAGGAAAGGAGATTCAGAAGTGTTTTTCAATAACATCACTGGTGGCTATCTTTAGCTTTTCCAGCTTTCTGAGGTAAAAACGAAAATCATTTTTCAGAATTAAGAATTGTGCGGGGAAAAAAACCCAACATGGTGGTTTGCCTAGTGAAATACCTCTCAGTTCTGTAAAAAATGAACAAGCAAAAGGTTGTTTCAACACAATTCTTGTGACTGGGGTAAGGGAAAAATCACTGCATAGCGAGGAGTTGGGCGAATGCAAATTTTCCCAGAAAAATGTGATTTACTTTAAAATCAGCTATCAAATTTTGATGGCAATGACACCAGTAAAGAAAGTAAAATAAGGAGCAGAGAAATTTAAGGAAACACAAAAAGACACTAAATACCACTACAGAAAAACAAAACGAGGCAGATATATGCACGAGTTTTCCTGACAGAGCTACAGTACATCACAGTGAATTTCCAAAGGGTTATTTTCTCAGATGCTTGCTCCGTAGTTGAATCTGAAGTCAACACTTGTTTGCATGAAATAACATAATCTATTATTCATAACAAGTAGAAGTTCATTACATGCTGAAATCTTGAAAGAAAGAAAAAGCAATATTCTAGCCTTCTTCAGGTGTGAGCAGGCTGTGAAGAGTGGTGGAATTCAATGTGGAATTAACCTCTGCTTGCTTGTTCCTTTACAGACTGCATGGTGACGCAGCTCCCCAGTTGAATTTATTATTAAGGCTAACTGGGGTCTGAGAAAAAATGAATAATAAAAACAGATTCTTTTAAAACCTCACTTGGAAGTTCATAGAAACAAGTTATGCTATGTTACCTCACCTACAGTAAAAATAACACGATGCCAATAGTTTTCTAACAAACGGTACAAAAATTCTGGACAAGGATGCAAATTTTATTTAGACGGAAATGTTTTTTCCGGTCCACCAACATGAGACAAAACACATCTGAATTCTAATTTCAACTGGGAGTCTCTCCCTAAGTAAAGCTCGATAGTGATTCGACAGCACATTTAACCCTTTGGATATGTTGCTACGATGAAGCAAATTACATCCGTAATGCAAATATAGACACCTCCTGTTTGGTTGGACTTAAATGCTGTTGAAAGTCCCTTGATCGTAAGAACCAGTCTTTTTAAAAGCAGGACGAGTGAGCCAAATCATTAGATGTTATTCATGACAAACGGCAGGAGCTCAAAATAAAACTGCAAAAAAGCTTGACTCACTGCAGCTAATGAGGAGTTTTAAAAACGAACGGGAACCATTTAATGCTTTTTTTTAACCTTTTACCTTCGCTGTAAACAGAAGAATTTAAAGCACTTCGGTTTACATTTTTGACGGCCTGCATGCCACAGCGCAGTCAGATAAGGCCACATTCGTTAGTTCAACAATAATTATAATAAATGAGGGCTCAACTTTGCACAGGTGACCCTTGCTACAGTACAATTACCAATGTGCTGCTGGAATCAAAAGGCCACACCTGAGCATCTTACACATTTTAGATGCCGCTACCTTCCCAACCCGCCCCCCATAAAAAAGAATCTTTTCATACAGCTGCTGAACAAGGACAGGGAGTCCCTCACCGGACGGGACACTCGGAATGAGAGGATGGGGATAACCGAGGAGGACGGACGTGACGAATCTTACCTGGGTAGGCGCTGGGTGGGGACGGGGTGGGCACGGCGATGGGCACCCCCACACTGCCACTGCCACTGTTCTCCCGACTGCTGCTCCTGCTGCTGGGGTGACTACCACCACTGCTGCCACTGCTGCTGTGTGGAGGCAATTCCGGGGGGGGAGTTATAGAGGTGGGGTGGAACAAAACAGGACAGGACCTCACTACAGAAAAGGCAGGCACAGACTCCGTGGATAGTCTGTGAAGCCACTCCGAGCTACTCTGCGGTGGTGCCTCTTGACTTAACGTCAAAAGGGAGCAGAGTTTTTAAAAACGTAAAGGAGCAGTCCAAACCCTGCAGTCAAGAAACCTGGGTTTCAAGTGAGGATGTTCTTTTTCTCCGTTTAAGACACGAAGCACAAAGCAAGCAAGCCAAAGGTATGTGAATCTGAAAGTCGTACTCTTTAAAACCAGACCTTAATAGAAAAGCCCAGAAAACTTCAGCCTAAGTTGTCTACATACTGAAAATGTACCTTACTAGCTCACTGAGTATTGAGTACCCATCGCTAGTTTTCAGACTCACAAATTAAAAATGGCTGGCCTTTGTCAATATTTGAGTAGAGGTCATCGGGCGTGTGTTTGGCTGACCTTTAACTCTATAAATCAGAAGATTTCTCAGCCGGAAAAGAGGAAAAACTAGGGTGATGAACTGGGTCAACAGTGTCCCAAGCAATCTGATGCTCTCTCCTGGTTATAACAACCTAGGGGATGTAAATACTGGCTTTGTGAAACTTTGGCAAAAGAAGAAATACATATAAAACTTTTTTTTGCAGTTGGAGATAATCTGTGAAAAGCCACATCTTTGCACTCACACTCCTGAGAGATTCCTGATCGTTGATGTCTTACAGATCATATTGCACCTCAGCGTATTAAAAGACCCACCTACAGTGCAGACAAGCTCAGAAATGGTCAGAGGTGAACAGGCAAGAGAGACAGGCAGAGAGCACAGCAGATATGTGTAGGCAAATTTTAGTTAATGGAGAATGAGGATGAAGGTTACCACTGAATGAGACAGAGAAGTCTCAGAAAAGTGAAACAGAAGGTGAACGACAAAGCCTGGCAGATTAATAGGTTATTTGAGCCAATATGTTCAAGGAATGACACCGCACAAGACAGATGCATGCACAGTGCCCCTCAATTCAGGAGGGTGAAAAATTTAGCTGTTAGTCCCAGAAACCCATCAACAGAGCAGAGCAATAAACATCAGATCGATTGCAAGTCAGACTAATGAATCGCTGGACACACCAAAGCGAGCGAGTATTTCATTTGCCCTTTTGTTCTAAACAAATGAATTAGTAAAACTCAGCAAAAAAAAAAACTCCTTAATTCCATAGGGATCGATCACAGAACCACAAAAACCTTCAAGGTCAAACATACCAGTAATGAGAAGTCGCAGGTTGTTGGACAAGCATCGGTGAGACACAGGAGGGAGTATGACCCATCAAAATTGCAATTCCGAGAGTAGAACTCCCTACAGTCTCCTTGCCCCTAATGCCCTCATTCATCTTGCAACCCCCATGGCACAGAAACAACACCAGACAAGGGCATTTACTCGGAGGCTCTTCCAGAAGAAACTTTAGTCGGACTCTCCATTCAGACTAATATTCCGCGGACATTGGAATATTTCTGCATCCGTTTTGGCGGTGAAAAGGAACAAGTTACTTTATAAGGTCACTTTGGTGGATGTTATCCTCTTCTGTGTTCAGGGGAAGAAGCAGCTTTGAGTGCACTTGCAAGTATACCTGTCACGCATGTTTTAGTCTTATTACACCTAAGTATTTTATTCAGTGGTATCAAACAGAAGATTCGATCCACTACAGATTCGACTACAATTTCCCAGAGGTACAAGTGCCATGTGCCTTTTTGGTTCTTCTTTAAAGATGCATGTGAATCGTGCATTTCTTTGCTCTGACAACATGTTTGTCTCACGCTAGCGGATGGAGAGAAATAAGAAGTGTAGGCTGGATTCAGCGCCTTCTTTGTCACTTTGCCAAAACCCTTTTTCTTACTCGGCTGTTTCGATCCGTGCAGGTGACTTGAGTGGTGATGCTCACTGCATCGGTTTCGTTTTTGGCAACTTTCAAACAATCTTCGGAGGGGTGGGAGCTTTTTCTTCATTTCTTCCACCGATGGCTCCCAAAAAAAGGACGCGATGTATTCCACAAACTTCCTGTAGATCATTCTGAAGCAGCGGTGTACCGAGAATCCAGAGATAAGACTCCATTTGTAGAAAAAAACGAATTAAATCGATTTCAATATCGATGGCACCCTGATGATTTATAGGCTTCAGCAGGGCAGTGAGAGACTTTCTTTCCAAGGTTTAAAAAAAAAAATACCAGAAGTCTTTCCTGCTGCAAGAAGATTTTCTTCTGTCTTCACTGGAGAACAAACCAAACCAGGAGCACCCGATCTGCCGTCAGGTGACTCGGAGAGCGGAACTGAAAGAAAGAGAGAGGAGGGGGGTGGCGGGGGGTACCTGTAGGTGCGGGTCCTCTGGTTAACAGAAGCGGTGCGGACTGGGCTCTGTTGTGGCGCGGGGGCCACGCTGCGGGTCGGACTGGGCACGTAGTCGTTGGGGACCACAGGAGGGCGCACCGGCTCTAAGGTGCGATAAGGAGAGTGCCGCCTGCAGGGGGTAGGAAAGCATTTTAACACTCAAACAGCGGGGGAGGGGGGCGGTGAGGGCGGAGAATAACGTTAAAATCGTCTTTGCCCCTCCCTCTTCATCTGTTCCCAACAATTTAGGCTCTAACAGGTTTAGAGCAAATCCTACAATCCTCCCTTGCTTTCCAAAACTCTGGAAACCCACATAATCTGATCATCCTACAGGACCCTCCAGAAGGGTTTCAGGCTAATAAGCGTGAATGAAAACTGAATCGGGGAAACAAAGCAACCTACACTACAGAGCTTCCTCCAGTGTGCTCACAACCCCCGTTTAAAGATGATTTTGTTTTTTTTTTTAATATCCGATACTGGAGAGAAGCCGTTTTCTGCCCTGAGGCTTGACAGCATCTGCTGAGGTTGTGGGATGCGGCTGAGATGAAAACAGGGTTCTACACTTGTTGAATTAAATCCAGCAAAACAACACGACTTCAGAGGAGCATCAAACACACAGGGCAGCTGACAGCTTTCGTTTTAGCCCTCTTACTCAGACGTTACACAAAATGCAGGTCCACCTCACCTACATTCTCCATTAACTGAACTATGGGAACTCAGGTTAAAAAAAAACAACCAAGTTAGGCACATCATCGGATCCAACTTCTGCATAACGATTTCTGACGCACAGCTGTTAAAAGTCAAAAACCCAATTATCGCCTCCATTATTCATACTGTCAAGGAATGTCAGCAACTCTCCCAGCCAGCGGAAATTAAGGATTGCAGAACTATCGAACTGCAAAGACTGCTCCTGGGCGATGTGCAGTACTGGTGCTTCGGAAAACAAGCGATTTTGAAATGGAAGGCAAAGGCCAGACTATGCCAGTCTGATTAGAAAAAAAAACGGCACAGAGTGCTTATTTCGGTTTGGTACAAAAGTTTATAGTACATAGTAAATTTTGCTCAGTTCTGAGATTCAGGCTCGAGGATTAAACCCAAAATGGAGCGTCTGAAAAAGCCTGAAGATAATTTTCTGTGTACTTTTTACCTGTCCCTCTTTTTATTTGACACACCAGTGGCCACTTGATCACTTGTGACTTGAAATACTGTAACAGTGATGCTAGACTGTTACGTAACTATATATTATAACTATATTTATTATATATATACACAAATCCCACAAAAGAGATGCAAACGTTCTGTAGAGGTGTACAAATGAAATATACATTGAACCTGTCCCTTATTGTATCTTTTAAAGAGTATGCCTACAGTATAAAAACATCAGTTGAAAACCTTTCAATTTTCTCCCTGAATCTGGGAAAAACAAGCCCCTGATCATACAGGTTTGGCACAAGTATCACAAAATTTAAAATCTACAAAATCTTCTGATTTATAACAAAATAAAAAACATGTAAAAGGGTAAACCGACTCTCATAATTGTGTATGTTAACGCTTTAAGAAGGAGTAAAAGGGTAATCAAATTAAAATCCAGCATTATTTAAAACCACAAAGGGAATCCTCAAAGGCTTTAATGAGGCTTAATGTCAGCCCATGGGAGGACTGGTACGATAAACTGATGACATCTTTAACAGAAGCTGAATATGAATGACAGCCAGGGACGGCCATGTTAGTACAGCAGGGCTTGAAATTCCTGCCATAAAAACTTTCATATCTCACAGCTAATACATAAAATGAAGGCGTGAATGAGGAACGTAAACTGCCCATCATTCAGGACAACAAAGCAAAATGTCGTTATTAAGTGCTCCCTTTCCACACACAAACTATAGTGGGCTATGAAAATCAAAACTAAAGCAACCCTATCAACTTCAGATGCCTATTTTTCTTTGGACTGCCAAGGTGCATTTCAATGACAGCCCTTAGTGATCTGCACCAGCAACTGATTCAGCAATGAAAGAGAATTATACATCCAAAATAAATAAGGTGAAAGAAGAATGGTACTGCAGAAAGTGCTCTAAGAGCTTATATGCCCACAGTTCTGTATATTCATGCCCCCAATTCAACTACTGCAGTTTTACCCTTGACAAAGGTATGTTATTACTCTTAAGCATTGCCCCAGTCTTCTTAGTTGTACATCAGTCCCAGCTGTACAGGGGAGCAGGATAACCTGAGATCCCCATCTAGAGGAAGTCTTGTTCTCTTGGGTCACCTAGCGAGACAGAAACTCAAGATATACTTTGCCCCTCCTGAACTACATAGGCTCATGCAGGCCTTAGATCACAAGGGCGATATATAGTCAAATGGACAGACCATTTCACCCAGGATTCTAGAGAGAAATAAGCAACAGACATTTAATATCCCAGGCTTTTTAATCTGATTGAAGCGTCAATAAACTCCCAATGTTTTCATAAAGACAAAACATGCAGCTAGACTAAGTATGATAAGGATATTCTGAAATTCACTAGCAAGGAAAGTCTGTCCTCTGAAATGTCCTAGGCATGAAGTTACTTCTGACGTCAGACAACGGAATGACAAAGTTTTTAAAGGATATATATCTACTTTGAGCTACGAGTATTTTCAGATTTAGTAACTGAATAAAAATGATAATAATAAACAACCTTAAGTTCAACATTTGCATTAGCACAGACTGCTTGGCTCATCAACAGTCACATTTGCTCTCCAACAGAAGGCAGCACTGTAGTCCAAGAGAAGAGTGAGGAGGAAATTATGCATCATAATCCGAGCTCCCTCTGCTTCGTAAGACGCGTTCCAAGAGGCACATTTTCAAACTGCCCCTCAAAATGCAGAAAACATGCTCTAGCGCCATGTTTTCCTCACACAGACAAGGATCCCAAGACATGAGCAATGCTTACATTACCTGCAGAGAAAAACCAGGAGGTTTCCAGGCAAATACTTTGGGTTTATCCAAAAAACGCGCTCAGTCCTCCAAAGAGGAGGCCAAAGTCCATATGGACTCCCAGATGGCTTTTTGACATGCGGCACAGCAGTTGCAGACAGCAAGCGTCACTTACAGACTGCCAAGCGGCAGGACTCCAGGGGAGAGAATGCACTGGGCTTTGGTTACCGGAGGGACACCTACAAGCGAATTAATTTGGGAAAGAAATCTCTTTGTCAGCGTTACAGCCCAAACTCTGATAAGACATAGCAGGAGACCACTTCCTGCAATGTCCTAGCGCTGCATGAGACGAGTCAGCTGCATAAGCAAACAAGGAAGTGACACGCTGGTCTTTTTAACCCTTGGAAGAGAGCAAATTAATCCTCATTGCTGTGTTTAAGTCATGTAAGTAACTCTCCCGCAAGCGAACAGCGAGGACATAATGATTCTGCAATGCAAAGAGGCCATTTGATATGAAGACTCAGGCATCATTAGAACCGCACAAGTTAAAGGAGGGAATTTTCTTATTTTCATCATGTATGCAGTGTTGCAGTCATTATATACTTGATTTGGAAAATACTGCCTGCAAACAGCTTCTCTGTTACTCTTTTAAAGAACGGCTTCATCTTAGCTTTGATCTGCACCTTTAATCCTGTTGGAGAAAAATACTGTTGACTGCGCTATTTAGGACATGGCAAATTTCAATCAAGTTTCTCCAACTTTGTTCTAGAGTTGGGAGAGACGCGATTATTTTAGCCTACTGGCACAGCTTATGTTACTTAGTTGTGTAAGATAAGTATAGCGCAATGTGTTATCCAGGAATGGACAAATCAGTGTAGGACAGATCCAACTATGTTTTTCACAGGTAAGAGCCCGACTGGACCGATCAGGATTTACAGCAGAGGCTCCCACTCAGAGGGCACTTAAGGGTTCAGCGTTAATTATTTTTCGATTGGGCTTTAATGGTAGACTGTCCAAACAAGGCCACCTCTGCATTGGTAGTTGAATTATCAGCTTATCTTTAGCTCTGGTCTCACTGGAAAAATTTGGATCAGTCCACTGGACAAAGTTAAGCAGTGCCCTTGAAGATTTTAAGTCATGTTCCTCAATAACCAGACTGAAATATATTTCATATTATGTACCTGGTGATTCATCACTGGACTGATTTCGGAGCTACAGTACCTATTTCTATGATACTCATCAAAATTGTGCACAATATTCTAAACAGGGGTATTATGAATATAGCATATAATTGTAACAAATTGTAACATAACATCCCTTAATTTAAATGAAACACTTAACTACAGACCCATTTTTCAGTATGGATTGCCTTTAGGAAGAAGGACAGTACTTGTGTAAATATAGCTATTGAGGACAAAACTGGGAAATGATAATTGGGATAAATGTCTTATAAATGTGAATGCAAACCAAGGCGAAACTTCACAAATTATAAAATATCGTGTGAAGGAGGTCAGTCTTATGTGTGTGTTACTCGGGGGCTGGGAGGAAGTCACTAGAGGTTAGCACTCATTTCAGACTAAACTGATGGAACTGCAGCAGCCTGAAATACAGAGAATAACATCATAATTCCTAAGAGCTGCAGGGAGGCAAAAAACACATATCTGTGACCTACATTCAAACGAAGAACACCGAACAAATCGGGTTTTATGTAGGGCAAAGCAAAAGCCGGAGAAACCAAACATGGATCGATTTGTTTTATTGCTTTAATTAGGAGGAAAAGCTAACTCGTCAGGTAATGTAATTCAGAGGCTGGGAATGAAACACTAGACATGCCGTGTCTTTAGAATCCGATAAGGGGGTATAGTCCAGAACGCTGGAGAAAGGTTGTCACGTTGCATTTAGTCAAACCAGAAGCATAACATTGCTGTCATTAATGCAGAGCAAGCAGAAAAACGAGAGCACGTATCTTCTGTCTGCTGCACCTGCGTGAACTCTGGAGGAAGGCTATATAGGTATGCAACTCAAGTGGCTTGCTCAGTCGTTACATAATCGAGATGGGAAAATGAAGAATAATAATAATAATACACCAGTACGATCACCACACACCAGCTCTCAGTGGGGAGGAGAACAGAGCGATGAAGCCGGTTCAGAGATGGGGATTATCAGGAGGTCATGATCGGTAAAGGCCAGGGGGGAAATTTTGGCAGGACAGCACGGTTAACCCCCCTACGCCTGTTGAGTAATGCCCTGGGAATTTTAATTATGACGTTTCATCTAAAGGACAATAACTTCCTACTACTTCTCTAGTGTCCTCATTGCTATACTGGAGCATTAGAACCCACACAGACCACAGGGTGGGGCGCCCCCTACTGGTCCCATTAATACCTCTTCCAACAGCAACCGGAGTTTTTCCAATTGCAGGGTGTTATATATCAATATAAGACATAGGATTACAATTTCAGGCAAAGCGCAGATGCATAGAGTCATCCACTTCAAACGTCCCCTTAAGCAAGTTGTTTTCAGAACACTCCCACACCGGGTGCAACCCTCCCCACTATTGAGGGATAAAACGTCAAAACAGAAACAACAGGTATTCAATTCCCTCACACGTTTGACGGATGTTGAATGAGGGCTGTGGGGGGAAAAAAACCGAGCCTTTGACAGCGTCGGGCGAATTTGTCCCAGCTGTCCCCAAGAAGACCACCTGCTGCCGTACGTACCCAATGGTTCCCTTTCCTGACACCGGGGGGCTTGGCGGTTTTTGGGTGGGCGGCGTGGTGCGAGGCAGACCCCCCATCTTCATGTTCTGGGTGCTGACCTGCAACAACAGAAGGCAGAGGCGCTACTGAATTTGTCCCAAAGTCCAAACCTGTGGCAGGCGATGCTAAGGCCCGGGACACTACCACAGCTCCAGGGGAGCCGCCAGATAAGCAACGATAACCACAGAACCAAGGAAAGGGGTTGAGGGGCAGAAGGGAGGGCAGCCATGCATATTGCCATTAAACACAAAAACAACGACACGTCCCACGTCCCCCACAACAACAAACCATTTACAAGCTGTTACCTTCAGAGAGTGCACTGTGTTTGCTGCCCAATTCTCACCATGAAGCTTTGGAAGAGGAGACACTTTGCAGTATGAGGCAACCCCAGGCAGAAGCCAGTAAAAAACCGAAAGCAGAATACAGCCACCGCCAGCCATCGGTACTTGCAAACCCTGAAGCTGAAGCGTCGTCGAGGAACCAAATTAATTTAATACGCAGAACAAAATGGAGAACTGGAGTCATCGATAGGCCCGAGAATTTTGAGAAGTAATGCTTGGTCTCCAAGTAATCAATCAGTTTTGCCCCACAAACTAGCGTAAGGTGGTAGAAGAGAACCCATTATTGACAAGCTTTCCAGAGCTGAACGTTCAGCTGAAAGAAAAGGTAGCACCGCAAGGTTTAAAAGCCTGTTTTTATTTTACAGTTATAAAACGTGGCTCCTCAAGAATCATACAGAGGATTCTGTACGACAACTTGACCCATCTTTCTGAGATTTGGAACAGTATTTGTACACTGACCGTTGGGGACACCTTCAAGTCTTGCGGGGGGAAAAAAAAAACAGCAACTGAGCTGTCAAATTAGTGTGGTTTCCTTCCGCGATACAAAAAACCTGAAGCTCCGGTACTGGGCTCAAATCACAGTGAGGCCCTTACCAAAAAAATTGGCTCAAGCGATTTTACCAATAGCGTGGACAAAACGTAACAAGAAGCAAACGGCTTATAAAAATCATTTCTTCATGCTTACAATGCCTGAGGGACAGAAGAGCACAATTCCTTTATACCCACAGAGCACTGGGCACTAATGGACCATAGCCAACGAGTGTGAATAGATGAACTCGATGACTGAACTGGTGCAAAGAGAACACAAAGGGGTCTATGCACACTCGCCACAGGAGCAATTTAACCATTATATTATTTAAACATACGCTGAATGCCAAATTGAATGGGGAAAGAGAGTCACGCGTTAGAAAATTTGAATCATGACTTTTGGAAAACCAAGTTACGCGCTTATTTAAGAAATATTGGGCTAAATGATCTGTGGATCTCGTACAGCCGTTTCTGGGAAAATCTCCGAGTGTCAGCTGCACCTGCAAGACTGGGCAGCTCGTTGCTGACACCCAGCACGGTTTGTGTAAAATATGTTCCTTATTTGCAATTCTAAAAGCACTCCTTTTCATTTGTATCCTCTGTTTTGCCCTGTCATTTGGACTGGACTAGTCACTTGAGTGAGTCATACGTCCGTGGTCCATGTCTGGTTTTCAGTCCAGTACTGTGGAATTATGTTCCTCAACAAGCATTCCCCCCAGACGGATCACAGTTCTCAGCGTTCCCTGGTTTTTGGCCACTGAAGGCGATAGTTTTTTTTCCCGCAGAAGTGCGGAGTGTTGGAGTCAGAGTTAAGATGAAGATGACACCAGTGTGATGAAGCCACACCACACTTCTCACACTGTTGGGTCATTCAGGGCTTTCATATCAGCTGGTAAACTTCGGTGCAAAGAGCATCCCTTGCAGGACCCCAAGGACTGGTTAAGCCGAGATGGAGACCCCTCCACCACACAATTAAATTCAAATGGAGCAATATACTCAATAGTTTTACACGCAAGCTGTAATGAAACTATGTGATGAACTGCATGCTTCAGGAAGGATTACATGACCAATGCATTTAGATTTGTATGCTTTAAATACAAAGCACTACTTTGCGAAATAAACCTCTGAGATAAGGTGCAAATAAAAGCACTACTTTTGTGACAACTAAGGCCCTCGTGACAGCCAGTGAACACTGTATATTTATTGTGGTTTAGGAGGAAGGTTCTAAAAACTTCCATGGGGAATTATCACAAACCCCGCAGTCTGCCAGATTCAAAATACTGACCCCTTCAAGCCTTGAACTGGCAGTTTTTCCACAACACCCCTTGCATGAATTCCACACTTCAAAGTGCACTTCTGGGAGACCAGCCTAAGCGGTGCTTGTGCTCTCTGCTTGTGTCCGCTCAGGTCTGTGCCTGCTGTTAGGCTGCAGCTCTATTAAATTTACATCAAGGCTGCTCATTTTAAGAGGCAAAAGGTCTGCAGAAATACAATCGGGAATACATGAATGCAGCAGCCATTCACTCATCTATGCTCAGGCACTCCTGATTCCTCATACAGCCTGGAGCTGGTTCAATGACCTTAAGAAGTTTTTTGCACTGGTGCTCTAATTCCAGCAACTACAGGAAGTCTATAAAATCATCGTAACTCATTCTGCTCAGCCTTGCAATGGGGAAAAAAATCACATGCAGTGTATTCAGTTATAGGAATTTGCTCTCGGTTAAATCTAGTCAATGCATGATCGTTCCTCCAAAAGCTTGTTTAGCTGCACTTGTCATCCATAGTGCACGATCTCCCATTCTCTTGGTTTCATTGACTTCTTGTGTACACTTTTTTTTTTGCGGTATTTTGAAAATTAAAAAAAGCCTCATCCCCCCCATACTGCATGCATCTTGCATCTGAATCCTTTCCAGATTTTGTTCCCTAGATAATTTCTTTTTTTTTTTAAAAGGTCACATGATGATCTTTGGTCTTTTAATATGCTGGTAGATTGAACTCTATGAAGGTAACTGAAAGCAGATCAGGAGAGTAAAACCTGTTATATAACACCATCCTGCTATTCAGGCTGATGGATCCCTTGTCAAAAAAAATAATAACAACAGAACAGTTTAGACACACGAAAAGAGACAGATATCATTACAAAAGACTTTTTGTAACAGGTTTTACCATAGCAGGAAAGCAGGAGGCAGCTGCACTAGAGAAATGTGCAGTTTATTCTATACACACAGCAGGCCAACACCTCTACTCTTCCAAGATGGGGGCAGTCTATCTTTAAGATGGAAAAAGAAGGATTCTCCTCTCTTCTATTCAGTCAATGTTTATTTATATTACACTTCGGCGATCAATAAACTCAATTTCCCATAAGCGTACCCGACCATCATCTTGCTTGTGAGAGATTGCGAATTGTGAATTTTATCGATACCTGTGGGGGACGTGCCTGAAGTTTAACAACAGGAAAGTTAAAGCATCGCTCTTTCTGAATATCAATTTCTCTTCCTGCTCAGAGGCGGTTTTTATGCTTGGCAGATACTGCTAGCTATGCCTGGCATTGACGATGGCTAGCAATTAATTGCAAATTTTCGCAATCAGCACCTGCCTATTTATTGCTAGCTACTTCACAGCCAAGCAAGATGAAACTGAGAAAACAGCCCCAGTGTCAGAATTTAATCATTTGTCCTGCAGCGATCATTCTACAATCAATGATGAGGACATTTAATGTGGGTTACAGTGAAACCAAGAAATTACAACCACCTCTCTGACCGTTAGCAATATATTACAATATGCTTCAGTGGACAATCTGCCTTATAGCAAATACTGCAATAGCTACCAAGTAAAATCCATCACAATAGTTGCATCAATAAAGCAAAGAGACTGATAATCAGTGAGACACAAACAAAGCGTTTCCAATTTAAGAAACACTTAAGGCACAGGAACCACAAATACATATAAATTCTGCTCTGGCAGTCTATAGAATACTCAAAAGAGCCGATTGGAAGCAATTTTAATGCTTGTTTTCTTGTGCATTTGCACCCCAGGTTGACTTCAATGTTACACTTATTTAGTTGAATCAAGAACAGTGCAGGTTACCACATTTTGTAAGGGTGTTCGGTTATTCACATCATGGATGATTGAAATGGATAGAAATTACTTTTTACCCCCATTACAGCACCCCACTCCAGTGAGTTCATTTAGAATGAAAATGTGTATAGAATAAACAGAATACAGCCACACAGAGAGGGAAGCTCTGATGATATCTCAGGGTTTGTTTTTCCGATGTTCAGTTCTCACGATGTTTAGTAACGTAAATGTAGTGTTCTACTGAAAGCTGGGGTGTTAAGCCTGGAGTAAAAATATGTACCCTAACCGGCTCTGTAATAAAGAAACAGTGCTTCCCAGCACATTGTCTTCTGGTTTGTTTCTACCGAGCTGTCAAGTACTCAACTGTGGTAAAATCAGTGGTAAATAAACCTATCATCACATAAATGTAGTAAAAGTGCTTAGCTCCTAACAAGATAGAGGATTAAGATTACTTAGTTTTTTTTTTTCTAGAAGTAGCTTTAAATGTCACACAGCTTAAAAACTGAAAAGAATTTAAAAGGTCTAATTTGCAAAACTTCAAAATATAAAGTCATGGGATCAGCTGGAGCAAACACTAGCTAAGTGGCCACAGCTCAGCTTTATTCTAATTTGTTAAACATCAAAATTTGTAAAAAAATGTTTCTAAAATAGAATTCAGCAAGGACACTGGGGTTAGAACTGAAATCTGAAGTATCGCGCCCCCTTACAGCACAGTGACCCTGGTACGGATACTAGGGGACTGGTTCAGAATTTGTGGCCCAGAGGCCACCTACCAGTAGCACTGCAGACAGGGTCTCTGGGTTTGAAAGAATAGGTATACCGCAATGCAAATGACACTTCTAAAGCAAGACTCTGGACACTGACCTTTATCCGGGAGAGTTCCTTGGCTACACAAACTATAACAGTAATGGTGCCTGTAGCCAAATAGACTTGGTGCAATTAGACATGTGCCATTACAAACATGGAAAGGCCAAATTACACTTGAAGTGGCTAGCAGGAATATTTCTAGACTAGTGGTAAAAAAGATTAA